GCTACATACCTAGTGAACCCGTTAAACCGTGGTTCTGAACTTTTAGGGTCATGCATTAGTCTCTCCCCACAAGTGTGACAAAAGTCACAGAGCCCCTGCTTCACCTGACCTTAACCTTTCAGCTTACCAAAGACTATGACAAAACAATGGACACTATGAGAAACCACCTCTCATCCCCTCCAACCACCCACGGACGCCGTCTGCAAAAACCGACGACCGGTTCAGCCAACCTGCGTCAACAAGCACATGCTGCGTGCACTAAACAACATTCAGCGTTCTGCACCTGATGCCATCACCGCGCCACAGCTTGTGATGCCACAGTGCAAAAGGGGGGTAATGCCAATGTATGCCGCTGCACGCCGCAGCACCAGAGACACTTGCAAGACACCGAAGCAAGTGGCATACCGGCGAAATTTTTCCTCCCTTTCTCTCTTTCTCTCTCCCTTTCACTTTTACCAGGATGCTGCTGTGCCTCCAGCCAACCAGAGGGCAACCGCACTCGGACATCTCACCAGGTCTGGCACCAGGACTCCTTTTCTGCCGGACCCGCACTCAGAAAGTGAATGTGCCACCTGATCCTTACAACGCCTACAGAACACACTACCCCAGCGTAACAACACAATACAGCTGGGTAGGTGCCGATGGACAAAGGACTCCCGCACTCACGCTGAGACCGTGGTTGAACACATGCTCAAGCAACTTGAGAAAATGACTGTCACGAGCACTCACAACAGAGTGCATCCCTGCAGACCATCGACAAGACACTGAAGGGAACTGTGGTAACTTTCAACACTCACAGCGTTGAACCCCATGCACTCCAACACTCACTCCATGAAACAGCTGTTTACTGTCTTCCAGAATGACTTTGCTCAAACTCAGCTGGTAACAGCCCTGATGACAAACCTGCTGCAGGGGGTGAACTCCTCCATCGACAGCCTCGCCAGGGGTAGAATTCCACCGCACCTGATACCCTTAAGCCTCGTGAAAACCGTGCTGGCGTCCGACAATCACCACGCCACGAGTACAAATACACCTTTCCTACTCTCTGGGTAGTGCCATCCCTCTCTGCGCCGACTACAAGCAGAGAAGTTGGGGGGTTTTCTCTTGAACTTGCCCATCATAGAGTCAAGCCGAATCTACCGGCTCAAGAACATTGTCAAGGTCAGATTTTGAAAAGTAACATTCACATCAAGATCCACACGCCGGACGGGGTTGACTGCAACGACGGCAACACAAAGCCGTCCTAAGCTCCGAACCCGTACGTGTGCACATTGACCAAAGAAATTCACTATCTCTGCCCTAACAAGCCTCTCCTCAGAGACAACACTGACGGAATCTGCGGGCTGCAGATCAGCGACACCCGCTGCCCTGCCGAAGCCAAGCTACGCACTCAAGGCATCAAGACCCAAGCAGAGAGTGTAAGTGACAGGCGGCTCGCTAACACTCCTGTGCGCACAGCTGCACTCACTTACGACCAGAATGACACCGACACCTGTGTCACCTCGCTCCACTAGAGCCTGTGAATCCAAGCACCGGAAAGTGCCATCCTTCACCTTGACGACCTGGCATGGTACCATCTTCCATGCAAAGAGTACAAATTAAAACTGGAAATCCCATCCTTCTCCAGGTACCACACTTTCACCCTAACTCCAGAACGGGAGTTGTGGTTTGCGAAAGGGGGGTGATCCCAGCTAATTGACATTGCTCCTATCGACACAGCTCTCCAAGCTTTGTCTCGACTACCCATTCTGACTACCTCACCTGTTGTCCAAGCCTGGACCGCAGCCGACACTGCACGGTGTACCTCTATGGTAGTCAGACACACCCTGACACTGGGCTTGACCTTCATCCTATACAGGAGACTCAACGAGATACAAACATCTTCAGCCAAGCTCACGAAAGGTTTCGGACGAAACCCGCAAAAAGGGGGTGCCAAGTCAGAGACCAGGCCAGAGGCAGCTTCGAACCTCATAGAGCTGAATCCTCAGCCCTAATAACCACCTGCTGCATGAGTCATGATTCACCTGCCATCCGTCCATTGTGATGATTGTTGTCCGATTAAGTCCACACAGGGACTTCATCAGACAAAAAGGGGGACTGTAAGGACTGGGCTAAAAGGGTGAATCTGAATAACTAAATACATCCTGCTAAAGACCCAAAAAGACTGAATGCAACACACACACACACACACACTCTCTCTCTCAGGAATGGCCAGAGTAATAAAATGCTTGAAACATTCCATGCCCTCCCCCATCTCTGCAAGAGAGATAACAGAACTCTAACACACACACACACAAACCAACACACACACATAATGGACCTTTACATTACACGCATAAAACGAGCCATTACCAATTGTATACGATATATTCCTGTATGTCTGTGTGTTTCCCAGTCCATGGTAGTTTAGAAATGATCTCCTAGCGTATCAGTGAAACTCTTGAGAGTTTAAAAGTTATGTATTAAGATGTATCTTCATATTCCAATTATGTGTAAATGTTGTGTTTGGTACCGTTTTAATTATCTCGTTCCAACTGATTTGGTCAGATACAGAAGATTACAGTAAAATGTATGTTTTCTATGTTTTTATCATCTTGTGGAATGATTCTGACAAATTCTGACTGGTCATAAAAGAGGCGGACACGGCCATAGTTTAACTTTGACAAGACAAAGAGAATTTGGCCGCCAAAAGTTTCGTTGAATGTCATTGGCCAGTTCGCACCTCAGAGGTGTGGACTCCAGTTCCTCTAAAGAGGACTGAACCTCCCTCTGGACTCTCTCTTCCTCCCGTGTCCTCGTGTCATGATGTAACGTCTCGCCTCCGGGCGAGTTCTTCGCCTTTCTTTTATTTGTTTCTAGTTTAGTTTGTGTTTTTCAGTTGTAGATAAGTCTCTGTGTTTAATTCCAATCGACGATTGAAAAGAAAACCCCGTGACATATCTCTTCAGCAAATCCATCTACAAGGGACCTTTAAACGAGCGCGCGCTCGCTTTGAAGGAGAAACACGCGCACGTGACCGCGTGACGCGCCGGACCGAGCGAAGCACGCGCTTCTTTGCCAGCCATGCACAGATGGAACATTAACTCCTCGTGATTCCTCCGTTCTACGAAGTGAAACGAACTCAGCCGAACTATTTTCCTTTGGTAATGTTACCCCAAAGACTGTGAACCTCCGTTCAACACGCGCGCCAAGCAGCCCACGTGACGCTTCCTCACACACAAAGGACTCAGCTCACGCGGCCGGACAGGGCCGTACAGGAATGCCTCGACACAGAGAGAGACCATAACATAAGTTGATTGCAAGTATAATCTCTTTATAGAGCTTCTAAGAAGTTTTAAGATGATGTTTCGTGTTGTAATCGGAGAGGTGAATGTCTTCCTGCCAATGAAATTCTCCCAATTTCTCTGTTCTCTCTCTCCCCATCCCCTTTCCTCTCTCTCTTACTCGCTCACGCGTGTACGTTATCCATTGTCCAAACTTTATGCATTTCTCGTTCATTGATGTCTTATTGTATTGTTCATTGTTGTCTATGTGTTTGTAAATACATATATCCCATGTAACCGTAGTAAATACATAAGTAGTCATGCCTCTATTAAATTAATTATATATTCATTAGATTGATGTGCTGTCTCTTTGCTCAATTTCAAGTCACTTAAGTGCCAAAGGTCTAACTTATGCTACAAGCTTTACGAATTAAAGATACTTTAAAGAGTAACGTTATGTGTTGATAGGGCGGGAAACCCAATTCTTCTGGCCAGATAATTGCGTTTCCTGAAATCCTATAAAGTAAGATGATATTGTGGATCCCACAAATATTATCCTGACAATTGAGCTAATTCATTTTACCTGTTTGTGAAACATGGTCCGTGTAATTAACTACAATCAACTTGTGGTTAATTTCCGGGATTCACACGTATGCATGCAGGTAAAATGACAGATCCTCCCTTAGAGGGAGATTACATTTAATGTAAGACTGATCTAATCCAAACATGTATGAATAATTATTAATTACCAATTATTAATTATGATATGCAAATTCCCCACGGATTAGATCCGCCCTGAATCCTTACACCATGCAGAGAGAGAAAGCTGTCAAACTGTTGCACAACAGTATCACCTGCAATGGACAAACACAAAGAATGAATTACATCAATGTAAATGGATGGTTATTTATATATACCTGGTACAGGACATTGATGTAAATATATTTATTTAATCAGAGTTTGAACATGAGAGGAAGACTAATGCATTTAAATGTGTAACATCTAATTATTTACTGTTTAAGCCCCTATCATACTCCCATTTCATACTCTTTGTAAGAAAGCATATTAAAAAACAAACTTAAACTAATCTTCAAAATGTTCTTAAGATCAAAGTACTGAGAACACAGCATACTGCACTGTGTGCAACCTTTATTTTCCTATAATATTCCTACCAGCTGAAACTCCTCCTGTCAACTGCTTGTCCTGCAGAAATCTTTGAACTAGAGACTTCATCTTTCCTTTGCACCATTCTGGGTCTCTGCTCATGACGGAAGGGTCTAAGCATGCTATCTGCCTGACAGTGGGGTATTTCAAAGGGCTCTTTTCTTGCATTTTCTTAACGATTCTGGAGAGGCACGTTATGCAGTCCCTTCTAAATTCGAGGACAGTGAGGTCACCTACTCTGTTGCTTGATTTGCTCTGAAGAGCCTATCAAGGAGGGATAGCACACATCATGTTAGATCATGATATAATAATATATAAGGTATGAATGCAGTGTAGTTTAAAGTTTATGTATACATATAAAACAGTAACAATGCATTACCTTAATGACAGAGTCAGCACCCAATCCAATGTCAGTGAGGCTTGCACTGACCCAGTTCTTCTGGTCATCAATGTCAAGTTTGGTCAGTTTAAAGGGAGTGATGTCTTGGAGTAGCTCCCTTTTGATGAAACGTCTCACCAGACTCTACAAAAAGGAAAAACAAATTTGTCTAATTATTTAGCATCCTGTTAACCAGCTTTGTTATTCCATCCTATACACGTATAGTTATTCAATGTGGTATACCCACTTCAAAAGTAATCATGAAACAAAAAATAGCCATTGAAAAAAAGCTGAAATTAGATTATTACCATCATTAACTCTGTCAAGTCTCTGCACAGAAATGGCAAGACTGGCTCATCAGTCTGGTATTTCTTCAAGAATGGACAAAACGTTCTGGATAACGCCAAGAAAAACTGAAGTTTGGCTAAGATCAGGGGATCTTTATTTGCTGCTTCAATGGTATCAAATGAAGAGGTTCCAGGGTTTGGTAGTTCTTTTCTACGGACTGCTTCCACATATTCTTTCAGCTTTGGCCATACCTCAATAGCTCTCTCTGCAACAGGCAGATTTTCCACCCATCGGTGTCCACAGAATGAGAGCGGAAAAAGAGATGAGCCAGTGAGTTTTGTATAATCTTCCCTTCTTCCAGGGACATTGTGAAAAACAAAGTGCATTGCTCTCAGAAGTTTCTCAATATTCCATGTGGAAAAGCCAGTCTTGAATGAGTTGTGTACTGTGTGCAGTCCACAGCTCCCGACCGAAATTAACTGCCGACCTCCATGTAGTTCACCATGTTCTTGCTGGAGATTATTGAGGAACTTAAAGTTCACGTTGGGGCCATCCATACTGATGGAAATGAGATGTTTCAGGTCTAGTAGGTGCACAGATTTCTGAGAACAGAAATAAATAAATAAATGATGAGACACCAACAAAAAATGCTGAAAAGATGTTAGACATATTTGGTTATTGCAAATTTGCTTCAACAAAAAAATTAAAGCTGAAGTCGGCAAGATTTTTTTATTTATTACTTGGACAACACTTACAAAAAATACAGCAAAAACAACTAGCCTAACTTAATATAAATTTCAAACATTATTAAAGACAATAAACTATCAGTAATAATATAAACACAAATAAATGAACTGAATAAACTGAACAAAAATGTAAAATTAAAAAAAAAAAGTGTTTCAAGGTCTTATAGGTTTGGAATGACATAAGGGTGAGTAATTAACAACTCATTTTGGGTGAACTAACCCTGTAAAGTGCATTTTCCAAACTCCTAAAAACTTTTTTACATATGGAGAACAAGTTATTCTGAGGAAACATGCTTAATTTAATGGATTTCTGATGCTCTGTGGCCTAACAGCAAATAATAAACCATCAGACAACTGACAAAATTGAGGGTGCAATACTAACGTTTTCCACTAGATGGAGGCATAGGATAAAAAGCCTAATCTTTTTCCTTTTGAGTATCAGTTATAATGACATAAATGCAAGAACAAAAGAACTATACTTACTTTGAAATGGTGCAGTAGATCTTCACTCGTTGACTGTCCCATGAACTGTGATCCCAGATAACTAGACTGGACACAACCAGCCTCCCAAAATCGAACATGGACATCTAGTTGTTTATTTTTTGTTGAGTGGTTTAAACTCTCATCAAACATCAGCACAAACGATCCTGCATTGTTAACTGCAGTAATCAGTTGATTTTTGAAGTATGGGGCAAGTCCAAATTTTAACATGTAGCTGGTTTTGTCCTTGCCACAAGAGAAGGATTTGACGATTTCAGAATCAGGAAACATTGTCTGGAACAACTCAGAAACACCTTCATTGGACGCGTAAGAGTGGTGATGGACCGCAGTGTTCAGACACCAGAGCACCTCCGCCTGCAAAGTCGCATTTGAGCCAAACGCAGATCGAAGGTCGATCGATTTTGCTCCACAAACGTTGGTGACTACAGCATCTGTTGTCGTCGTAACGTTACTTGTAGATTTGTCGGTCACACCAAAGTAACTAGACATAACGTTAGTTGTTTGCTGTCTGACTCTTACCGCCGATTTGTGGCCGTCACACTGCATGTGGGATTTTACGGCGCTGATTCCCATTGTCCCCAACTTAAATCCTTTTTTGCAAACGCCGCAAAATCCTTCATAATGTTTGCCACTAACGGGCTGCAACCATGTCCTGAAATCTTAGTTTTCCAGCCACTTCAGCTGAAATTTGCACTTTCCCATTTTCGTAGTTTCAGACCTGTCTACTGCTGTATAAAATGTCCGCGTCACCTCCGCATCACGGCAATTTTGCTCCGGCCGGAAGCAATTACCAAAATGGTTCCGCGTGTTTATCATACTAACGTACATATTTTGCGAGAGCAAATAAAAATTATGAATTATAAAGGCTATATTCAAATAAATTTATATAAAATTCTCTTCAAAACTATCATAATTTTTAATGCCCGTAGGAATCAAATTTAATGCTTTTTAATGCCTTTTAAGGCCTTAATTTTCGCAAAATCCATTTAAGGACTTTTAATGCTTTTTAATGCCCCGCGGAAACCCTGTAGTAGAGAAAACTGGAGGGGAAGAAAACGGGCGGTTTACGTATGCTTCAGGTTCATGGAATAATTAAAAAATGGTTCACTTCTCAATATACTCCCCTAATAATTATGATGTAGACTTTTTTCCATCTCTTACCAAATTACTCCTTAACTTTGTCGACTACAACTTGGTCGTAGGTATGGATGCTAATGCAGTTTGTAACCCCTTAATTGATAGATCACTTGTCTCTGTTCATGGTGATCAGGCTTCGCAGTCATTAAACGAGCTCATTGTTGATAACGACTTATGCGATATCTGGAGAGTGAAGAATGAGAACTCTAGAGATTATACTTTTTACTCAGCACGCCACAATCATTTTCGAGGTTAGATTACATTATGATTTCTAAATCCCTTACCCAAGGCATAAACCATTTTGATATTCTACCCATACTGATTTCAGATCACTCCGCTGTCATCTCCTCCGATAATTCCCCTAAGCTCCAAAAGGTGGCGTATGAATACAACTTTTTTGCAAAATTAAGATTTTGTGAAACAGTTACGTTCTAAATCATCTGTTTCTCAAAGAAAACTCGAGCTCAGCTACTAATTCACAAATCCTATGGGAAACAACACCTCTTATTTGCCTGGAAACTAAATCTACTCGAGGCCATGCACTCGGACTATGAGGGTAACAGTTACTCAAACATCAGCATCTCTTACCTGAGTGTCCATCACAGCGAAAATTAAACCTTTATCCCTACTCAAAGTGCTATAATATAAAACCAAAAAGGCCGAATTTACTCCTCAGGCATCCCTGTAGGCGCGGTGGTGTCCATCTCAGTAGTGACGCTTTTTTGGGACGTTCCCTTGCTGAAGTCAGGAAAGAACCGTAAATTACCCCCTTCATAACTCAAAGATGATGCGCTCTTGGCTCCCTGTAGGATCGCCTGTCGGTCATTGTAGCGAAGGAGCTTGAAAATCAAAGTGCGCGCTCTATTCCTGGAGGGATCCTCATTTGTGTAAAAGCGGTGCGCCCATTCGATCTTGAACGTCTTCCCTTGTAGAGCCGGAATCTACTTGGGAATATGGGTCCGCAAGAACTGAATTGCATTCCCTCCTTCAGCTCCTTCCCGTAGGCCCACCAACCTTAGGTTATTTTGTCTGGCTTTATCTTCATAAAGAAATTTGTTTCTCCTGGAGCTCCTCTAGGCAGGACTTGCTAGCAATCGAGTCGAGTACAGATCCTTGTATTCAGGGCCGGCGATTGCTATAGGCGAACTAGGCGATTGCCTAGGGCAACAAATGTGTTGGGGGCGCAGCGCACTCTAGTGTCGTCCTTGGCCTACTTCCCATTAATCACAGAATTAGAATGACAAGCGAAACAAAAACATGTTTATTAAACATGATCATCCTAAGGCGCCCCCTCAGCCACATGTTTAATTACTTGTCAACCTGATTATTAGATTGAATTGATGATTATTGTCGATCATCTCCTAACGGGGGGTGGGGGGTTTTTACGTTACGTTACGTTAGGCAAACCCTCTGGTGCACAGGGACGAAAACGGAGAAAGCAACTAGATAAAAAGAAAGCCCAGTATAGAGGTAAGTCTTCTCATCTCAGCCATTAAGGTGTCAAACGAAATAAATTTACTTAGTATTGTGCACAGGCATGCTGGCCATCGGGACTACCGGGAGATTCCGTGCTTTTTGGGCCGATACATCTCATACTTTTATTATTAATATTATTTTTTGTCTTAGTGGCCCATAAAACTCGTACATCGGCCCATTCGTTTTGTTTTGTTTAATTGGCGGCGCTGGGTTACTTCCAAGTAACAAAACTAATTATGAAAGTTTCCTTTATTTTTCAGTGCATTTGTTTTACAATATAGCCTATGGCTATTACTGTCATGGAATTAATATTATAACTATTATTATGTAGTAGTGTAATGTAGACAGACACTGTAACTAAAAGAGGTTTGAATTTTTCTTTGTTCAATTTGCACACTGAATATAGGTTGGAGCTTTTAATTTTGAACTCTCAAAGTGCACCAGATGATGAATTTAACATTAAAATGCACAACATTTTCTTACGGGGGGCATACCCCCGAAACCCCCTTAGCCTTGTAGCAGACTAATAGATGTAATAGTAATAATAGTAGTGGTGGTAGTAATTGTAATTTATATACTACAAGTTACATGGTCAGACAAAATGTATTTGTTCAATGCAACTATCTAGGATGATAGAAATATCCTTGAACGTTCTTTGTAAGAACAATTTATTACAGTTTTTGTTTAGTTTAATAAATACTTATCATTTGTAAGTATTTTTAAGGGGGGGCGCAAAACTCAATCTCGCCTAGGGCAACCAAAGGGCTAGAGCCGGCCCTGCTTGCATTATCATGCTGCAACATGAGGTGATGGTCGTGGATGAATGGCACAACAATGGGCCTCAGGATCTCGCCATGGTATCTCTGTGCATTCAAAATGTCATCAATAAAATGCACCTGTGTTCGTTGTCCATAACATCCGCCTGCCCATACCATAATCCCACAGCCACCATGGGCCACTCGATTCACAATGTTGACATCAGCAAACCACCCACCCACACAACGCCATACACCCTGTACAGTGAAAACCGGGATTCATCCGTGAAGAGAACACCTCTCCAAAGTGCCAGATGCCATCGAATGTGAGCATTTGCCCACTCAAGTCAGTTACGACGACGAACTGCAGTCAGGTTGAGACCCCTATGAGGACGACGAGCATGCAGATGAGCTTCCCTGAGAGGGTTTCTGACAGTTTGTGCAGAAATTCTTTTGTTATGCAAACGGATAGTTGCAGCAGCAGTCCGGGTGGCTGGTCTCAGACGATCTTGGAGGTGGAGATGCTGGATGTGCAGTTCCTGGGCTGGTGTGGTTACACATGGTCTGCAGTTGTGAGGCCGGTTAGATGTACTGCCAAATTCTCTGAACCGCCTTTGGAGACGGCTTATGGTAGAGAAATGAACATTCAATTCACCGGCAACAGCTCTGGTGGACATTCCTGCCGCCAATTGCACGCTCCCTCAAAACTTGCGACATCTGTGGCATTGTGCTGTGTGATAAAACTGCACATTTTAGAGTAGCCTTTTATTGTGGCCAGCCTAAGGCACACCTGTGCAATAATCATGGTGTCTAATCAGCATCTTGATATGCAACATGGCATCATGACTTTGCGTAAACATACACGCCACTTTCAAGTCAAGTGGCATGTTATCTATTCGCATTTTGAGCTATCCGCGTGTATGTCCACGGCGAAACGAACCGTCATCTTTTGCGTGTATGTCTACGCCGTTAAATGTCCGAGTGACTCCGCGTGTATGTACACGCCGTTAAATGTCCGAGCGAAACGAAGCAAAATGTAGATCTACATCTGGGGAGCGATATTTTTTTTCCTAGGATGGTAGGGGAAGAGTCATAAATGGTATTAACCCCAGTGATGGGTAGGTTTAGGGACGGGGTTGGGGTAGGTCATATATTTATATATGTACAGTAATGTAACGTTAAGTCAACGGCGTTGATAAACACGCTGAAAAGCGATTATGCGTGTTGATAGCACGCCAAAAATGGAAATACGAATTGGCGTGTCATACATACGCCATTTCATGAGATCAGTCTGTGATATGCCACACCTGTGAGGTGGATGGATTATCTGGGTAAAGGAGAAGTGCTCACTAACACAGATTTAGACAGATTTGTGAACAATATTTGAGAGAAAAAGGCCTTTTGTGTACATAGAAAAAGTCTTAGATCTTTGAGTTCAGCTCATGAAAAATGGGGGTAAAAATAAAAGTGTTGCGTTTAAAATTTTGTTCTGTGTATAAGAAGCATGTTAGCAGTTCCACATGCATTATACGGACATTTCAAAAGATCGCTATGTGATCACATTACAACTACTGTAATTTACCGATGTTAATGTAAACATTGTCATTGTAATTTGTTGATTTATATTTAAATAAGCATTTTTGTATTTCTTTTTCAGTTTCACAAAATAATGTAACTGATTGAGAGAAACAACATGATTACTCTCAAGAAAGTCAAGTAAAGAAAGAAATTTACTTCATCTGAGTGGTCATTGAAGCCTCTTCATAAAAAGGAGTTTGGAGTGGCAGCAGCAGAGGCTGAGTTTCTTGAAGCGGCTGCAGCAGAGATTGAGTCAGGAGAATTGAATATGGCGACTGACGTCACAGCGTTTCCAGAGGAGACTATTGAAAAGTGTAAAAGGACTATGTGGACAGTCTTTCTGGATCAAGTTTTCACTATCTACCTCATGTTAAAGCAGAGCCAGACTCCCGTAATCACGAACAGATCATGATCCTGCCTGCGCTGCCCACACTGTAAAACCGAACAGTTATATGCACTAAATAAAATTGAGTTCAGTGCACGCAAATAGTACCGAAAGTTATGTGGACACGACTGAAACAGAACTCCATCTGAATGAGTCTAGAACATTTCTAGATCCCTGCACTAGAGTTCTCAACGGGTCGGGTCGGCCCGAGAAACCCGACGGGACCCGCGGGTTCGGGTCGAAAATATAAGCAAATGACTCGGGTCGGGTCGGACCTCGGGCTTAATCTTTTCCGCTCAGTGAAAAAACAAACAAAAAAAACATTTATTAATCATCGCTGCGGTTCACTGTAAATAAAGTCTGGCTGCTGCGTGCAACGTGCATCGTGTATCAACAGCAGCGTGTATCCCAAACTGGCTCAGTTGGCACGGCAGGTCCTCTGTGTGCCGGCCAGCAGCAGCAGCAGCGAGAGGGTATTCAGTGTGGCTGGCCGTACCATTGAAGAGAGGAGAGCACACCTCAGTCCATCCACTGTGCACGCACTACTGTTCCTCCACGATGCCTTATAAGCATACGATTATGTTTGTAGGCTAGGCCTTTTGTTTCAAAACTCTTCAAAAATTGTGTGGTGTGAAAAGTAGCCCGCCCGCTTTTTTTTTCTTTTTCTTTATTATTGTATGAAGATTTTTATTTA